CAAAGGACCATGCTAATGGTCCACGGAATTCTATATATTAAATGAAAAGGAAACATTGAGGCAATTAACTAAAGAACCTTTTTTCCTAACTTGTTTGGTTTCCATAGATAATTTCAGGATCCGGCCAGCTGCCCGGAAAACTATTCTGTTTTGTTTTCATACAATTTATTTATTGAAAATAAGCACATGATGAGGAAATTTTAATTTTGGTTTTACCACTATGTCGTTTATTATTATTATTATTATTATTATTATTATTATTATTATTATTATTATTATACTCTTTTATGAGGAGAATTTTGGCTTTGACAAGTAGAAGTTTGATTTTATTTCCGTGTGTTTTGGGTTTATTCTACTTCTTAATATATTGATGCGTGTATGTATGATTTTTCTATATTATTATTTTTTTTCCCCGTGAATTTATGTTGGATACTTGGTAGGTTTGTAGAGAATGTTCTGCTTGCGCGATGTCATGTCACAATTACCTGGCGATGGTGCCACAAAATGGATAAAGATTGAGAATGTGATTTCACCAATGTCAAGCGCGGACGTGGTGAAACTGTTTCCCGAAGCCTTGAGTTGGAACTTTACATCGCACGTGCAAAGAACCGATTATGTGGTGTCTTTTCCAAATGAATCTGTTGCAAGGATAGCGATGAAAAGAGTGGAAGGTTTATCTTTTTTGGGTGAAAAAATGGATTTTTCTTTTTTATTTGAGGATAACAAACTTGAAAAACCTTTACCGCTTAGAATGACAAGTTCCTATCCTAGGCTATATTTTTTGCCTCCGGAGGTTTCTTATCAAAGCCGTTGTGATGATGCCGATCGTATTGTTTCCTCAGTTGGTATAACGTTTTCGTCTTCTCAAGATTGGGTAAACGCACGGTGAAAAGATGAATTGGGGTTATGAACTTTTAGGTGTTATTCATGAAGCTGATTTTTTGCAGCTTCTGTTGGTAAATTAGTCGTTTTGCTCTTTTTTTGTTTTACTGACTCATTTTATTTTATTACCATTGTTACCATTACTTTTATTTTGTTTTATTTTATTTTTATTTTTAAGTGGGACGATTTATTAGGATCTTGAGAGTTTCCTTGAGTACGTATCTTCATGCAAAATAAGGACATTTGTAAGAAAGGAAAAATGTGGTAATATGTCCTCCTATTAAGATTCAGTTACCAGTTCTTTTCAAGCTCATGAGAATTCCAGATATGTAGCTGCAGTATTAAAATAGCAACTAGGGAGAAATGTGGAGATTACTGTCTATATATTTTTTATTTTGGTATGGTTCTTCACTGTTATTTTAAATTCACAGGATGTGAGGGATTTGTCAAATATATTAAAACTCTTGTACACTGTTGTATAAGATGCCGTAAGAGTTACTGAGGCTATATCTCTGGAGCTTTTAGATTCAAGTTTAGGAGATGGTGAGTTTGTAGTATCTGAACAAAGGCTTGAGATTTTAAATTATTTTCGGTAAATGAGCCAGCTGACTGATAATCAGTTTGATCCCACCTCAGATGGGAGAAGCGTATTATAAATTCTGCAAGAGTGATCGGGCATTCTGGGTCAGCTGGAACTATTTGAATTTTTTGGGGTTGTCTTACCAAAGGTAATTTCACTTTATATTGTCGATTATATCAAGGCCTGGTTTGTCGATTATATTGTTCTTTGACTAGGAGAAATGGACATTTTATTATTATTATTATCTTTTTTTTGTGGGGGGGGGAGTTAATAGATAGTTCTGAAGGCTTGGTGAGGGCATTTAGTTATCTGCAAGACAGGAAGGTCTGGTAAGGCGGTAAATATGGATTCAATGCCAATGACAAGAAAGGACTTTTTACCTGTTTGGACCTTTCTGATGAAAAAGGTGCTATTGCCAATCAATTTTATTATTATTATTATTATTTAGATATTTATTTTATGTTTTTTATTTTTTGCACGCTTGATATCCGGTATTTATTCACAGATTGCCGAAAGCTATACACGGAGTATTGCCTTTTCAGAACTTTTTCTCAGAACAGAGAGAATGAATTGTCTCTAAGATTTGTACATGATTGGATAAAAAAAAAGCTGTTCAGGTAGCAACGAGTCTCTCTTTTTATTCTTGTTCATCCATGGAGATAGGAAAATGTTTTTTTTATTTGGCAGATGACACCCTCGGTAAAAAAATTATTCTCTCCGTCTTTATGAACAGGAAGGCACGGGTATTTTGGGTGCATAAACAAATTGAGAATAGGATTGAGCTATTAAGAGTGTGACATAAATGTTTTATTGAGAATTAAATGCTTTGAAGGATTGCATCTTGCATCAACGGAGCGTAATGCGAATTTGAAGAAACAAATGAGGGAGTTCCCTTCTAAACTTCTATTATCGTGTGTTGTTGTCTTCTATTTTGAGTGTATCGAACAAGTATTTATAAATACAGTGAAATGCATGGTTGTTGTTTTTTTAAGGGTGACGATAAAGGTACAGTTTTCCTGGCCGGGTTTCCAGCGCTTCATGAGTATTTATACACAGTGGGATCACAGGTTACTTTAAATTCTTTTTTATTAGAATGGCAATGGGGAATATAAACTTATACGAAAAGAATGCTCCTTCTATAAGAATAATAGTAATAATAATAAAGCATTATTATTATTATCTAAAATTAGGGTGGGAGTTGTGTCAAAGCGAATATTCTTAAGAGGGGATGTAAAGCAATTGCGCTTATGACCGTGAGGTTTCTTTTGATTGGTGATTAAGTTTTGTTGTTTGATGACCTTTTCGTGAAGCTCTGCTTGCTGTATCTCTTTAAAAAGGCGGATTTTCTTTTTTAAAGCATTGATTTTTAAATTAAAAATTTAATTCCGTTTTCACCAATAAGGTACATAAAATTTACTATAGACTTGATTGGACATGAATTTTATTTTTGTACCTTGCATCTACCAATCATTGTTATTATCTATTTATTTATCTTATTTATTTCATTTTATTTATTTATTTTGTTTCCAGTGGTATTCTCTTGAATGAAAAAAAAAAAAAAATTTCCTTGTTTGCCCCATTACCTTTATTTCGGGCCAAGGGGTTTAGTATTCCATGGAGGGAAATATGGGGATCCGGAATCAGGGATTCTTCTTTCGGCGGCTTGAATTTCATCTTTATTTCAAGGGGATGTGATATTTATTATTGTTATTATCATTATCATTTTTAATTTATACTCCTCTATTTCATTACGTAATCCTGTTTATATTTATTGTTCTCCTTATTTTTTCTGCTGTTTGTTTGCTGATTTTTTGGGGGTGGAGTAGAAAAAATGGTTATAGAGTATCTTAATTCTGCAGACACGCAGCGTCTGATTGAGTTTCTGGGTGACGGAAAACTCAAGTTTTCTGTGCTTGAAAAGTCATTTAAAGAAGCCTTTCCAAAGGATACTCATTTTAATGTTTCTAGAGCCATCCAGCAACTGGTTCAGAGTATGATTAAATCAGGAGAAGGTGTAGGCATTGTGTCCTCCTTCTTTACTTTGGACATCATGTGCAAAATGGAGTGTGAAACAGCCAAGTGTGTGTTCTACGATGCACTTCTGGAATTAGAACGAGTCATGCGGCAAGATGTCTGTTTTACGGAGCAAATCAAGTATGCATCTAAGGAAACAAAGGAGGGGAAAAAATCTCTTGAGGCGATCAATGCGGAGAAGTATCGTTTCCACTGTGCAGCAAAGGGTTTTGCTTTTCGATTACTTGCAAACAAGGTTTCTCTGGATGAAACATCGCTTGCAGTACTTTATGATAAACAAGAACAAATTGATGCAGCGTTGAATGCATGGGAAATCAACAGTCTACAATTAAAGGAATCCATTGCTAATATTGCTCACTGTTGGACTCAAGATGTCGAAAAGAATTCATGTGAAGCACTGTCAAAAAACTCGGCGATTTTTGATTCTGGAGTCCGTGCAGCTTTGTTATTGCAAGCGGCACGACCACAACTTCCTTCCCTTCCTTTGGTGTCAGGTGAACTGCAGTTTCTAACCCCCGGAGGTTCCCCCGGGAGTGATTTACTGTTTTTTGACACTGAACCAGTTACAGAAGAGTGGAAGTTGTCAAAAAAGCTGATTGCATTGAGCTGTAACAGTCTTTTAAACAAGGAGGAACAACAGCAACTTATTCATACACTTTCCTCTGGTGATTTGTTTCATCGACTTGGAATAAACATCGAATTGCTCAGTCTTATGGCTATTCACAATCCAGATCTAAGCGCCGCTTTAATACTGAAACTTCCTCCCCAGGAAGGTAGTCAATGCATTCAGCAAATTCTAAAGAGTTCTGTTCCTCCCGAGCATGCTGAAACTGTTCTTCTGCATGCATCAAAGATCCTACAACAAGTGAATATTCGTGCCTATATCAATGGGAAACTACATCTTTTTAAGGAGAAATCAACCTTGTCTACTAGTGACAAGAATTCAATAAAAAGCTTTATCATGACTCTTTATCAGTTGGTGACTAAGGCTTCAAAAGAAAACAAAGAGGTGTACATTGCAGAGACGCTGAAGAGCGAAATCACACAGTTGTGTGAAAGGTGCGATCTCCCAGAGGTAAGCGCAAGATGGGAAGAACTGAAGTAATGCGTCTATTTTTTATTGAGATAAGAAGTATTGTCCCTTATTATTAGTTGAAAAATTAGGGAAATATCTATATTTATTTATCCATATCTATATCTACCCATCTATTGATTTAGATCTACCTTTAATTTTTTTTTTGTCTGAATTATTTATTATTGTATGAATTTGTTGTTGTTGTTGTTCGCGCCAACAGCGCCTTTTCACCATATCTTTGTTACTTTTATTCCTTTTTTTTTTTTTTTTTTTTTTTTTTTTTTTCTTATCGTTTTAGGAAAAGGGTGAGAAAATTTCTCTCTCCCAGCGGAAAGCCAAAACGGAATCATAATCATTGGGGAAAGAAGAAAGGAAAACAACAACAAAAAGGGCGTTCTGTTTGCTCTCAGTGGCATTGTTTTATTAGACATGTATGGTGAATTAGAGTATGTTAGTTTCGCCTATATTACACCTTCTGGAAAACTCCCATGTGAACTGGTAGAAAAGCAACAGTTGTCATCAATGAAGCAGATCATTGCTTCGTACAAACCATCAGATACTAATACTACTAATAATACTAGTAGTAGTAGTAGTTGTTGTATTTGTAGAACTAATAGTTCTCAGGTCCAAGCGATGCCTGTTTTAAAAGAGTCAGGAACTAAGGTATATGTGAAGTTTTTTGACACTCTTAGAAAAGTTACTAGGACACAATGCTTTTCTGTTCGTCTGCGGTCAAATATGTCCTATATATACGAAATGATTCACGCATGGCTTCCCGATGTGGGAAATTTGGTGTGTTATACAGTGCATAGCGATAGTCATGGAGTGCTATATCCATTGGTTAAAACGGTACTTCATCCACAGGATGATGTGCCTGAAATTATTTTTTCTCAAAAGTTTTTTTTGCCTTTTTATAAATTCACACATTGTTGGGGTGTAGTGAACTTATTTGTGTTGCGGCATCATGGCTCTCTTGTTCCTGGATACATACCTTTAATAGTTTATCGTTCCTCAATGCATTCTAAGGAAGCATTACAGGAGCAGATTTGTCAACTTTGTTGCACTTCTCCCTTAGAAGCCAATTATATGAAGTCGCAACTCTTTTTTAACTGCACTGTTTCTACCGGATTTGTGGATTTGGTTTCCTTTTTTGATTCATTTACCGACGATTCTGCGTCTCTTTCCCAGATTGTTGTAGTTTACCCTGCCTTAGCACCAGGGGATTTAGTGCATTTGGACATGGTGGACCGAACGAATCGAAGATTTGGTATACAAGGTATGATCAAGTGTAGCCGACAAAAAGACGGTCTAGTATGCTATGACGTGGAGGAAATGACGACCGGTTATCTGCTGGAAGGGTTGACATGTGTTCAAGTCTTGCCTTTGTGATTATTTAAGAAGCTTTCCCTTGAATATATATTTATTGGTGTTTTGGCAGTGCGGAATTGGCTTTTCGTTGGTGTTCTTTTTTTTTTTTTTTTTTTTCCAGTTTATATATTTTGGTATCTTGCTATGCATTGAATATTTTTGCTTATTTTTTTAAATTTGATTTTATTCTTCTGGGGTGTTTAGGGAAGTCCAACAAGAAAAAAGAGACATGGATCAGAAGTTGTGGTCTCTGCCGGTAAAACGGGTTCCAGTTGCACAGAAGGTGGATCGATCCGTGATATGGAATAATGCCTGCCTGTGCTATGAGCAGAAGTTGTTTGGTCAGGTGACTTGTGTGAGGTACAACAATACTGGGACGGCCGTCGGTTGTACCTCTACAAATCAACTCACAATCCTACGAGTGCCTCAGACAGAAGGTGTGATTACGAATGAGCAGCGAGAAAAAAAATGTTTCTCTCTTCGGTTTCGGGATGATGACAAAATGGTTCTACTCTCTGTTAACCAGCGTGTGATTGCTAGATCCATGCAAACAGCTTTTGAGCGGCAATTTTCGGGTCATCTTAGAGAAGTTAGGGACGCGATATTTCTGGACCGACACAATTTTGTCTCGGCTAGCGATGACACGACTTTACGGCTTTGGGATATTATGAATGAAAATGAGTTACTTATCTCCAAAACGCATACGGATTATGTTCGGTGTCTTGAGAACTATTCTCCAGGCTGCTTTTTTAGTGGTTCATACGATCACAATGTTAACTTGTGGGACACACGAGTTGGCTTTGAGCACCCTATTCAATCCAGTGGGCACAATATCGGGAGTCCTGTAGAGGCAATGCTCCACACACACACGAACATATTGATATGTACTGCAGGAGATCAATTAATATTGTTTGACATGCGTAAAGGTCTTTCCACAATGTTGTTGCAGGAATCACACCATACAAAAGCGGTGGTATCCCTTGCTTTTTCGAAAAGAAATAGTGTTCTTTTGACAGGATCGCTGGATCAACGCGTAAAGATTTTCTCTTTGGAGAAGGGGGGACTGGAACCTCTAGCGGGTAAGAAGTTTGATGCACCAGTGACTGCCGTGACGGTTCATCCAAATTTATCCGAGTTTGCTGTTGGCACTGCGGGGGGAGATCTTCGTATAATGAGGCTTGGAGGCGCTTTGGACCAGAACGAGAAAGAAGAAGAAGTGGAGTTGGTGGAGGATGAACTCGGAGCAAAAGATAAAAATACACAGGATGATTTTTTGGGTGCAAAGCTACATGATGTTCGACAGCAGCTTGTGTCGTATCAGTACAATCGTGCAATAAAGACAGCGCTGTATTCTCGTAACTCGGACGTTATTGTTTCTACGCTGGAGGAACTTATTCGTCGTGGTGCTTTACATGTGGCAATGAGTGGTCAAAACGACCGAACAATTGTGCGCATTCTTCGGTTTTTGGTGAACCACGTTGATTCCCCTCAGTTTTGTGAATCAATGATGATTGTGATGGATGTCATCTTTGAAATTTACGCGACGTGTGCCGGAAAGAGTAACTTCCTTCACAGGGAAATGATGATTGCACGCCGGCGTTTGGGATCTGTTCTCGCGACCCTTCAGCGCATGGAGCATACTTTAAGCATAATGGAGCTAATAGTAAATGACGTTTAAGGTTTGCATGTATCATCTAAAGAAAAGTAAACACGGGAGGCAAAGAGTGGAAATACACGCCACTGTTGTTGGTGGTATGAATGATGTTACTAATGAAATAAATCTTTTAGTCTTTTGCATTTAATTATTTTTATCCCTTTCCATCTTTTTTTCTCTATTTTATTTTATTTTTTTTCTTTTTCTTTTTCTGGACGTAGTTGCCATCACAAACGTCAGAAAACATTAATTGAAATCAAAAAAAAAAAAAAAAAAAAAAGAAATCTTCGCCCCGCTCTCAGAAAAAAAGAAAAAAACACACACACACAAGAAAAGCTTTGTCATGTTTCGTCGTATGGCCGTGACTTCGTTGCAGAAGGGTCTTTCACGCCGGGCTTTCTGCAACACCCTGCGACTTCTTAACCTGGACTACCAAGCATATAAGACTGCCACGGTGCGCGAGGCAGCACCTGAGTGGGCAGGAAAAGCTGTCGTGAATGGAAAAATCCAGGACATCAGCTTGAATGACTACAAGGGCAAGTATGTTGTTCTTCTTTTTTATCCTATGGATTTTACCTTTGTGTGCCCCACAGAAATCACAGCCTTTTCAGATGCTCAGGCAGAATTTGATAAGATTAACACCCAGGTCGTGGCTGTATCATGCGACAGCCAATATTCACACC